TGCCATTTCCCCTCCCCCACTACAATTGCCTAACGAAAGGGTCCTGCCCCTGAGGAGCCGGCAGCCTGCCAGGAGGTGAATGGGCTGGGGGTGGGCGAGGGGGGGTTGCCATCCAGGTGTCATTTCGCCGGGAGCCTGCACAGAAGCTGGTGAGGAGCTGGGGGGTGGAAAGGGGCACAGGCGTGTGCGTGTGCATGCGTGCCTGCATGTCTGCATGGCCGGCGGGTTGCAGAGGTGCCTGTTGAGACCTCCCCCCTGCAGCGCGTGGGTAGAGGTCACGCGCACACGGGCTGAGCAGCCGGGCGCACGCAAAGGCTGGCGGGGTGTCATGGGAGCCCCACGCTCCACCCAGGCCGGCCTGGGGGCCGGCAGCCCTGCACCCCGCTCCCCGGGGTGGGAGATCAGCCCCGGGTGGGAAATCAACGTGGCAGGCCGGGAGCGGGGGCGCTGGCACAGCCTCGCTCCGTCTGCCAGCCCCGCCAGGTCCCAAGGCCTGCCCAGAGCCGGGTGCCAGGAGCTGTGCCCCAGCCCCAGTCCCTTCTGGGCTCCCCAAGAGCTCAGGGTAGGGCTGGGCAGGGTGTGCAGCCTTGCCCCGTCTCTGCCTGCTCGGGCTCCCGCCACTGGGGCTGGACGCCGGAGCCCTGATTCCCTGGCCAGGCGCCACGTGGGGGGACTGAACACCCCGACCCCCATGCCTCAAAGCATCCGGCCCTTGTGACCACCTGCAAAGCAGCGGGGCCTGATTCTGTCCCCAGCAGCCGGCGGGTTGGGGTTGTCTCCCGCTGGGCAGCCCTGGGAGCCAGTCAATGTTGAACCGCCGGGCCTGCCCTGTGCCCCGTGCAGCTCGGCGTGCGCCTCCGGCCTTAACAGCACCGTGAGCTGGAGGGCTGGTGTGTGTTGCAGGGAGCGGGGTTCGCCCCCCGAGCTCTGGGCAGAGGTCGCAGTACAGAGGGCTCAGAGCCGGGAGCAGGGCTGGCCGGGTGCTTGGCGTCCTGCGGTCCGGCTCGCTCGCGGCATCTGTCATTCAGCACCTGCTGTGGCTTTGGCCGGCTCCATTGCTCTGCCAGGCCTGGTTCTCCCCCATCCCTGGCAAGCAGGAGGCCCGTGGCCCTCACCCGGGCCGGCTGCCCAGTCCCTGCTGTGCCCGTGCTGCCCCCAACGAGCTGCCAGTGGCAGTAGGTCTGAGAAGAAGCAAGGTCTGTTTGTGGGGCAGCTGCAGCTGGGGTGGAGCGAGGTCCCCAGGGCTGGCCCGGGCGCTGGGACCAACATAGCAGCAGGAGCCGGGGGCTCTGCACAGGCTGCCGGGGACCCCCTCAACCCCAACATCTGCAGCACGTGGCGAGAGGGCTCCTCTGCTGCTCTGGAGGGCGGCACAGACCCGGGGCACAAGTCAGGCGGGCAGCCTGCAGCACAGCCCGGTCTCAGATGGGCCCCGTGATGGTGACACCGTCCTTCCTCCCCGGCAGCGTTGGCACCGCGCGGCTCTGGGGTTAGTGTCTGCCTTGGCACAGCAGGGCAGCGAGGCTGGCTTGCA